TGCATCCCTCTACTCTTCCCGGGATACCTGTCCTGGGACAGAGCAGAGGGATGCGTTAATGTCTTGCCCTTTAGTTTGACCAGCAGTCTCTTCTCATCCTTGCTAGAGTCTTGTCTTCTTTGCCTGATTTCTTGTGCCTGGAGATCATTAGCTCTTGTGCTCTATGGAGGACATCCTTACAGATCTGCCAGCTTGTTGCTCTTCCTTGTCCCTGAGGGCAGTTTCCCTGGGGTTCATACTGGCTTGCTCCAGAGGCCTAACTTTACTGCTCACCTGATTCACATCCCTCTGGGCTGCACACTCCACCAGTGTGTAATCACTGTAGCTCAGGTAAAGGTCTGAGGCTTATTGGAGCTTTCTTGCATGCATCTTCACTGCAGTCTGGGCCAAGATTAGGGAGCTGCACTCTATCAGGAAGGGAGCTGTGGGGCCATCTCTGTGTTGTGTAAGGGGAAAGAGATGCAGACTGCAGAGGAGGGTAGAAGAGTGGCTGCAGGACAGCTGGTCAAGCAGAGATCAGCCCAAATGATCTGGAGCAAAGGAGTGTTTTCTTTTTCTGTGAGCTAGAGAGATGGAAATTGCAAATGTGGTCAGTCCCAATTCCTAGAGAAATCTCTCTCCTGATGGTGGGACAGTCTAATACACGAAGCATGCAGAAGAGAATTGCTTTTTCCTGTAAACCTCAGAATTAATTTTTCTATGAAGATATTATTTGCAGTGACTTTTGAGCAAATTTGTTTGAGCAGCTTGTTTAGGTCCATTACCTTGTTAGGGAGTAGACTGGGGCACATCTATGTGACAAACCATTTCTAACAACCTAACCTCTCTTTACCACTGTTGTCATGTTTTCTGCTATTCAAGGTGATCTGTAGCCTCTTCTAGCTGCTGTGGACTGTATATGATGGTACACAAATAGTGTGCACTCTTTCAAATGTCATTATAAATCAACTGGATTGCTGATATCAGTAACTACTACCATAACAGACCTTCTAACAGGCATTTAATCTCTCCTGTTGACTGCTTGGACTTACCCTCTTACCAAAAGTCCTTCGGTAGCAGATGAGAGACTGCCGTTCAAGTAATGGCAACCCACACCACCAGTCTTCTGTTCTACTGCACTTTCTCCACTATATATCCTTGAGTACTCTCTGAGAAGGTGATGGACCTAAGGAAGCTGCTCATCCACAGCAGACTACTCATGACCACTCAAAATTTTCCTATTAAAAGCCATCTGGGATCCATCCATGCTAGAAGCAGCCCTCTCATTGTTTGTCCTCTGAAGCACTGGAAGATGAACACCTGCTGCTATAGCATGTTTTATCTCAGAAAATGACATTTCTAGGATGTTGTCATCTTTTCTGTGCAAGCACAGACCAAAAACTGATTTATTGGTGTGCTAGAGGAAAGCTTGCATTATGTGACTGTTCCCAGCTGCTGGAATAACCAGCTGTTCAGCTGCAAAGTTTATGCTGAGTTCCTTGAAGTTCCTTTTAGCCCCATCTTTTGATTTTCTTCCAATTGCCCTTTTTCTTTTTTTTTGAGGTAAAAAAGGAGACATGTCAGTTTTAAAAACATAGTATTTTCACAGACAGCCTTTGATTAGCAAGAAAAGATTAATCAGTCATTGCCCTAATTTGCTCTCTGTTGGTGTATGTACCATTGCAAGCAAAAGAGCAGCTACCTTGAAAGCTGCTTACTTGTTCTATTAGACCAAAATATATGTGATTAGAGAGCAAGTGCTTATGGTTTACCTGTCTAAAGATCTCTTGCTCTACAAAATGCTGTGGTTCCTGGAGAGAAACTAAAGCAGAACAAATTCTTCTTTTTCTTCTCCCCTCTACTCCACCTCCAAAAAAGAGGAAGGTAAAGAGAAAAATATCTGGGCTGGAGGTGATCCAATGAAGCAAAAAGCAAAATGGAAAATATGAGTGATAGTGATGTTCTATTCTGGGCATGAGATAATGGCTGGATCTCTGCTTGTCCTAATTATGGTATGATGTCCTAGTAGAGTAAAACCCCAGAAATTCATTATCCAAGTGATCAGAAGCTCGTGGAAAGAAGTATCAGGAAGGTTTATAATTATCTTCAGGATCTCTGTAATGAACAGGGCTTCTGACACTGTGCTTACATTGGGAGTCAGGTTCTGCTCAGCTGTTTGCTCAGTGTGGTGTTTCTGCTCTTGGTCTTTCTTACCCTGCTGAGTGACCACTGTTAAGAGCTCTGCAGGGCACTGGGTGCTGTGGCTTTGATTCTTTAAACAAGATCTTCTCTACAGCTAATCCTCAATGATTTTAATAACTATTTTGCTCCCCTGGCAAAATTGGATTATAGCAGAGAAATCAGGTTGTATTAAAGAAGTTAATAAATTTCTGTTTGAAGAAACCGTAGGGCTGGAAAATTGTGTGCTTCATATGTTTTTCCTGTGATAATCCTGGTGTAAAATTATTTGCCTTAATAATACCAGTCACTTCACATTATTTCTGGGGGTGGAAATCTGCAAAATCATCTAAGTATTATTTGTATGCCATGATATAAATTTTACATAAATCAAGGCATTTGTATAAAAATATTTTTAACAGTTCTTATAGAGCAATACTTATTCTTCCTCAAAAATATTTTTCAGTGTTACCATTATGGTGAAGTGCTGGAGACATAGGGATTTCAGTTACTGGCTCTGTACAAAATGAAATACAGGCAATGCATTCACCATTGTCCCACTCATTTTTCAGTCCAGTCCTGACAGAACATTTGTCATTAGCAAGACTGTACTGTAATTTCAGAGTTTGGTCAATCTTTGAATTTGTTTTTAATATTTAATATTACCAATGTGCATTCCAATATTGTTAATAAAATGGACTGAAGGTACTGAAATTTTTTCAGTCTAAAAAAATGGAATTTTTTATCAGATGGTGTTAACTTTATTACCTTATGTTGTATTATGACTTTTTACCCTGTAACTTACTGAGAACCTTTTTTATTTGGCCAAACAATGACTTGGGACCCAATAACTTATTGCCTGTCCATGAGTGATAAGTCAGCATAGTGCAGAATTTGCAGTATTGCTAGTTTTTGTAATTTTTCTAAAGATTGAGCAATTTGGTGTAGTAATGGTTAGCACATCCATGGCAGCAACTAAGATTTTTGATTGAGGACCTCAGCTACCTTTAAGATAGTAAGTTTCTAGCCACCTTGGTTACAGAAAAGTTGGTAACCATGCCTGAATGTGTTTAAAACACATAGTGTCAAGCGACAGACACACATAATTAATTTTTTTAAGAACTAATGAGTTATGGAGACAGAATGATGACCTTTGAACACTTGTGGCTGCCAGTGCTGGCATGTAGGCGTTTTAACCTTTCTGCTGGCTTTCACATGCATGCCATTTCTACTGAGTTAGAGATCTATGTGGTTTTGGCAACAAAAGCTTTTCCACTGTGATTAGCTTCTCTTTTGGTCTGACTTAAGCTTGCTTGTGTTCTTTTATGATATATGCATATTCCTCTCCTGCTCTTCTTAAAATCCCTTTTTGAAATATGTGTAAGAGCTCCCTTTTTTGACATTATAAAAGATGGTTCTGTGATTAAGACCTATAGAGTTTGTCTTAAGTGTGTAATTGTGATTTAAAGGAAATGCACCTCTACATACTGCAGAGAGGAGGTCTAAAATTTTCATCATTAGAACTCTGTTAGGCGCTGGGTGAGAGCTGGCAGAGTTGTTCCACTCCAAGCAGTTTAAAAACACTGGTTTCATGTTGCAGACTTCCATGGGACTCATTGTCACTATTAATGTTTGCACTTGTCAAATGGAACAAAACAGAATAGGAGAGGAGGCTGTAAACACCTAAAAAAGTAGGTTAATGGGCCAGCAGGTTATTTGGCCATGCAAGAACAAGTGGCTTCATTGAATCACACTGTAATTGTTTTTCTTCTCTTGGCGGATTGTTCTGCTATGCTTTAACTTTCTATGTTAATGTTTGCATCTGCATTTTAACTACTTGAGAACCTCTGTTAGGTGCAGGAGAAGCACTCTAACTTTTCAAATCAAATAAGTGATAATTCTGGTGTTTTCCATAAAAGTCATCAATGAATTTACAAGTAGCATGACCTTTTTTATAGTTTATAGGTTCCAGCTTCCTTTTTAGATTTTAATATACTTTAAAATAACATTTTTTAGAAATGGAAGAAGTACATGTTGTAGTGAATTTGTTTTATTTTCAGGACAGTAAGCAAGGCAGATAGAAACAGGGAGAGGGAAAAAACCTGATTTCATGTAGCTTAAAAATGTGGAAAGCAGCATGGTTCAAGGGAAGTAACTATAAATGAAATGCAATTGTATAAAGAGACTGGAAGTAGGCAATCACTTATGTCAGTGCAGAGTTCTTGTTTGGAAGAAGTTCAGTTGTGAAGCAAGTTTGTGATACATTCTAGGAATTGATTTTGAAGTGGGTTTTTAAACAAAGAGTTAATGGCAATGTCTGAGGAAGAAGCAATAATAATGCAACTGGACAGCTTTGCTAGTTGTGAACAGCAGCAGCATTCTGCACTTGCTGGAGTCCTGAGAATAACAATTTTGGAGACTTGGAGAGGAGATGTAACACAGAAAGCCAGAAGAGACCCTAATAAGAACTTGAGTGAAAAGATGTTTAAATAATGGTGTATAAATACACTTTGAAGGTAGTGTAAGTGGATGTGAAGAAGTAGATGATATGAGTGATACCAAATTTGAAAGTGAAAAGGACATCAAGACTAAAGATATAGGCATAAAGTGATAGCTTAAAGCCAAGATAAAACTGTGTCAGAATGTCTTGCTTATCAAGAAGAACTTTAAAGCAATGTCGATTCAGAAAGTAAAATACTTGAGCTATTTTTGATAAGCAGAATATTGCATTTAGAGATTATGCTCATTAAAACAATTGCTTGTCTTTATTAAAAAATTAAGAAGTAGATAATTTTTAAACTCACTGATTTTCAAGTTCTCCATTGTTATTTTTTGACAGTTTGGAATTTATTTTCTGCTGAAGAGGATACCTCTAACTCCACATTGTTCTTCACGGGAGCCAGGTTTCATCCCTAAACCTCATACTTCAACGAGTCCGAAAGTGTAAAAGGTAAAACTGTTCTTATAATTGATAAGGTTCCCATGGCTTTCAGTTATCAACACTGAAGGGCTGAGTAGCAGTGTTAAGTAGTGTCTTTTGCTCTCCAGAACATGACTGAATTTGAATCTTAGAAAATAGACATAGTCCTTTATTTACCTAGTGTTTGCTTTCAGCTTGACTAGTTTTGGTGGCATTATCTCTGCAGTCTTATCCTTGGCATATATAAGCACTGAGAGTGTTCAGTGTCTTGCAAATTTGGATGCAAAGAGAGAAGGGCCAAACCTTGAAAGATGAGAAACCAATGTGCTACAGGTGCATTTCCTGTACTTTTCAGTACTTTAAACTCTCTGTCTGGATACCAGATCGAGGTTGTCGGTTCTGACACAGAATCTGTAGATTGTAATGAATGATTTTGTTGAATTCTGGGAATTGAGCACTCTGTTAAAGTGAAAAATACTGACTTTTAAATTCTGATTCTGCATAGTGAATATGTCAGTTATGTCACAAGTAGAAGTTTTCTGTATTTAGCTGTACAGGTGGTTTTCTTTTGCAGATTGGGGAAAGTGTATAATTTGTCTTACAGAATTTCATGTTGCTCTTGATCCCTATAATTTTAGGTGCCATTTCTGTATCAAAATTAACACAGAGCTAGAAGTGTAATTAGTACATAGTTATATTAGTGCTTGCCATGTAAGCTAAATGAAAACGAGTTTATAGCTTTTGTCTTGATTGTAAACTTAGTTCCATGCCAGTCACAATAGTTAGCTTTTACTGCTGAGCAGCCTGTCTCTTGTTGCACACTTTTGTCAAAAATTCAAACAGACACTTCTTCACAATTCACTTTTCTCATGCCATTTATGGCTGGTTTTAAATGCCACAACTCTGTTACTTGGCAAAGTAATTTGGGGAATTTATTTTGTCAATATGGCCAGTGCAGTTGTTATTTGGAAGAATTGGAGGGAAGAAATGGTTTGCTGCCAGTGTGTCTTCATAGCACTGGATTTTGGAGGTGAAGGCAAGGCAGAGGTTGTCCATGCTAATTGAAGAAGTGGCCATTTGAGCAGAAACACCAGCACGCCTTGTGACATGCTTTGGAAGACATTCTGCTGCAGCACAGCTCTCCCATTTACTTTCCTGCTGCACTCAAGTTATGAAACGTTGTGGTGAAAAATGCTATTCTTGTGAAGGAAACCCACACAGTATGTGGCTGTTACAGATGCAGAGATAGTTTGGTTAATCACAAGCTTTCTTCCTCAGTTTGTTCCTCAGGCTTTTGCTGCCGTATTTCTTGTGGTATTGACACTGCAAGTTCCACTGGTTTTAGTACTCTCAGAAACAAATCTTTTTCAGAAAATATTGAGTCCCTAAATGAACGATTAAGTTTGTAGCCTGCTAAAAATTCCTGAAGATCGACAAGTTCAGCTCTTATAAAACATGCTGCAAACAGTTGTTCCCTAATCAGTGCCAATGTTACAGACCTGCTCCATTTGAGCAGCCTCTGAAAACTGACTTTTCATATGAAAGAAACAGGTTTAATTCTATTGTTTTATGTTTGAATTTAAATTTAGCCTTTTCATAACCTGTATTGTATTCCTTCTCTCGCTCTTAATATTTTGTTCACATTCTTAACTAAAAGTCAAATGCACATCTGGAAAACTAAAATCTTCCTGTCATGAGTAAGTCGACTGCTTTTAGATATGGTAAGATTAAATTTCGCACAGTACATAGATCACAGTCTAATCAGTATCTTGTTGTTATCTTTTTACATGTCTATGATAACAATGTGCTCAAGAAGAAGTACAGTAAGAACAAATTATAGTTTTAAAGTACTATATCCCAAGTGCTTTCTATTTGCAGTGTTTCTAAGTACAATGTACTGCTAAGTGTATTTAACATCTGTTCAGCCCTCAAACTTATGAGGGTTCTTTAGGAAAAAGTTCAGATAAAAACTAAAAGCTATATCTGAATTCAGAGTCGTAAAGAGGTCTGTATTGGTTTAGTGCAGACTTATTTACTGTAGCCTGAATAATGTTCTCTTCAACTCTGTCATGTAAAATGAGGTATTAAGGCCCAGGTTATGCTGGTAATGGAGACTGCTTTAGAGGAGGTAGGAGGGCAGAGCAGAAGGCTGGAAGAGAGGGGAGAATTAGGAGCAAATGAAAATCTTAGTATGCTTTAACAAAGAACACATTTTTTTTCCCTCAATCACATTTTGATATTTTTTCTTCTCTTTCAGGCAGGCGTACAAATGTCTACCACAAGACTAAAGTGTGCTATGTTATGTTTTTTACCATAAGCACCCATAAAATGAGCTCCATTGCAGACAGGTATGTTTATAGATATGGAGAGTTTTGGGAGAATTACTGTTCAGTTCTTTCTTTAATAGTATTTTTTTGTACAGTTAGTACATTTAGATGTCAACTTATGCAAAAATTAAAGAGTGAGGTTTTGGTTATTTTTGACAAAGTTAATTTGGTAGTTGCTAGATGTGTCATTTTGTAGTCACTGGAAATAGTGATTTCAATTGCCTGAGGTTAATCTTAAAATGCATTACTTGTTTTCAGCCTTGGAACAACATCTGTGCAAGCTGAGCTGATTTTTAACGTTTACTTGAACTATTAATTTTTTCAGTACTTCAGTTTTTGATTAAGAAAAGCAAATACATTTAAATGATTAGTGTTGCTGTAGATGATAGGAAAGTGACCTGCTAACCTATTTCAAGGGAAAAGTAATAGCTGAGGTATGTTTTCTGCTTGATTCCTTGAGCTGCACTCTCTTAGCAGCTTAGGTGAACATCTGTACTTAATACCCTGTATATTACCACTTTTGAGACTTTAGAAAATGAAACTTGCATCTAATTTATGTCAAGTTAAACACAATTAAAAAAAAAAAGAAGAAAAGCAAAAGGTAAAATGTCTATAATGCTTGTTTAACGTGTCAGTTCTTGTAGTGAAATTCTGTGGCATCTCCCTGAACCTTCAGCCTTTTAAATGTATGACTTGCTTCTAAAAGCTTGATGTTATGTAGTAGCATACAAAATAGTAACTTCCTAACATCACTGCTTATCATAATGTACAGTAAAATTGCCTGATGGTTTATAAATCAGAGAGATGAGATAAGCATTGTAGAAAAGTTACTTGGCTTAAGGGAAGGAAACATTAGAGTAAGAAATGTCAGGGTAGACACACAGAGGTCAGTGTGGACAGCACTAAATAGACTGAAAGCAGGGAGAAGTTAGAGAAATAACATGTGAAAGTCCATTATACAGCAGTTTTGGGAAACAGAAGAACAGTTTTGACTTCACTTTCAAAGCAAAAGGAAGTGAAACAAAGGAATTGTATGAAGGATGCTGAGGCATCTTTAAAGGAAAACATTCTTATTTTGGTTTTTTAACCCCTCTTTATCAGCAGATGGACAGTTGTCAAGCTAAGAAAGTTATGTGATACTTATTGAGGAAGAAAATTTAATGAATAGTTACTGTTTAACATTGATACTAATTGTGTATTTATGAAATTAAATATGTGGATGAAGTATAGCATATTCCTTAGCACTCTTCCACCAATAGTATTTCAGAATTCAAGAAAAATGTGTATTTAGTAATTGGAATGGAAATTGCCAGTAAGTAAAAATAAGTCTTATATGTCCTCTCCCGTGTTTTGAAAAGGGCAAGGTAATTAAAGTAATCAAAAAGATACAAAACCAAATTTAAGCATTGTTCAATTAAGTGTTTGTATAGGGCTGTAAGTTATTTTGAGAAACAGTTGTGTCAGAAATAGAAGGTTTTTTTGCTTTTTCTTTAGTAAATGCAAGCAGAACATGGAAGACTTAGCTTCAGGTTACTGATTATGGTCCTTGTGAGACATCACAGTAAAACAGTTGCTTTCTTGATGTAATAGAGATGATGATAATGAATAGTCAGCTCTTTCCCCTTCCTCCTCCTTTGTTATTGGACTTTCAAGGAGAGGAATTTCCACTCCAACATTTATTTCTTTTTGTTTCTTTCAGAAATGACGGAAGCATTTTTGATGGGCTGGTGGAAGAAGATGACAAAGATAAAGCAAAAAGGTAAATTTTGAAGTTACTTAAAGCTAAGAAAGGTTCTATACTTTAGGCTTTAACTTATCAGTGTGATTTCTAAACAATAAAATGGTTACTCTTAATAATAAGTGTATTACTCAACAGCATTTCTTCTACTGTGGTTTTTCAGGTATATTATATATTTATAATTTTGATTCAGTTATTGTGTTTTGTAAAAAGGATATTTTATTCCAAAGGCTTCGCTGTACTGTTCTTTGAGGAGGAAGCCAATCTTCAAAAATATTGTCTGAGATATGGAGTAGGTGTTTTTGTGTCAGTTAGCACAGCAGAAATTCTAAAGGGGCTGTTTGCTTCAGGAACCTGGAAGTAGTATACAGCTTATAAGAAAGTCTCACAGTTTTTATAAAACATTTTCATATTTGCTTTTCAGAGTGTCTAGAAACAAGTCCGAAAAGAAACGTCGAGATCAGTTTAATGTGCTTATCAAAGAGTTGGGTTCCATGCTTCCAGGTAATGCTCGGAAGATGGACAAATCCACTGTGCTGCAGAAGAGCATTGACTTTTTACGGAAGCACAAAGGTAACAATAAATGTTATTTATAAATTCTTAATTTTAAAAGTGATACATTATTACAAAAAATACTAAAAATTTTGCAGCTTCATTAAGGAATTTGTCAAAAAGTTGTGAAGCGCTTTTGGAGAAAGATATTCTTAAGATCATCTGGGTAGCAGAGATATAACTGTGTAAAAGCCAGTACTATTTGTTTTGTCCCATAGTTGTCAATGAAATCTGTTTCACAAAGAGACGATTTATTTTTGAAATAACCTCGAAGTGTGCTTACACACCTTGCTCCTTAAACAAAGGTGATAAGGCAGTAGGGCATTGTGGTTTCCAGCAATGTTTCTGAGTTGGTTGCTTGACAAGAGAAAGTGAAATACTGGGGCAGAGAGACCAGGAGTGTAGGCTTTTTTTTTTTGGCCTTTTAGCTGGGAAAAAATGCCAGGAAAATCTACAAATACATTAGCTAAATTTTAAAGTTTTAAGATGTATGCATGGATGTATAAGCCACTGAGTGTATGTGTGTGTGTTGTTATTTAAAGGTCGTGTGAAATGTCAGAACGATCAATATCCTTGAACATCCTTGCTATGCTTTGTTCCTCTGGCTGTTTGCATCAGCCCATGGTGGGATATACCCAGATATGTTGTACTGAAGTTTATTACAGGTTGTTATTTCTGTCATGAAAAAAATTCTTCCACCAAGTGTATTCTTGTTTGTGGCTGTTAGATATTATATATATAAAAATATCTCTGTTCCTGCTCCTACACTTGTTCTTAATATGGCACCTTGTGGTTCACACTGTCAAAAATAAAATGAAAACCGAAGAAAATGGACTCTTTTGTTAATTAAATAATTTCCTTGGATGATTTCTTGCAACACATACTAACTAGAAAGCAGTAGGGTCAAAAGAAGTAGCTATAAGGTTATAAAATAAGTAAAGCTATTAAGTGGATTAATAGTTATGTAATTATCAACAATATATGTGTCAATTTAAGGTATGAGAAATGTTTTTCCATGCCCTAGCATGTCTCTTCCATTAGTGTTATGTTTCCAGTAACACCAAATGTGTACTGAATACTGCTGTTAAAATTGTAAACATAACTCAAATGAAAGATGAGTGGGATATAATTTATATGAGAACTCATAGATTTGGGGGTTTCCTTTCCAATTAAATATTGATTATGCTGTTTTAATTTTCTGAGATACATGTGTCTCATGACAAAAATAAAAGCAGTATGAAGGCCCTTCTTGTGTAAAATTTAGTTATTTAGGTTATAAGGCTTTGTGAAAATCAGTTCTGTTTCAAAATTAATTTATCTTGCTGATTCCTGCCACAAAACATAGAACAAATGTGTGTCAGCCAGCCAGCAGCACCAGTCATATTTTTTTCTTCAAAGTGCTTTCTGAGATTTGATTTTTTAATAAAGGGGCAAAAAGCAGCTCTGGAGATGGTTACCTTTTAAGGCATGGCACTTCTGTCCTTCACTTGGTGTGACAGAATGCAGCTCTGTGTGACTGCACATATCATATTAAGTTCCCTAAAGCTCTGGCTGCCTGTCCTTACTAGCATTGCTGTGCAGTATTTTACATTAAAATGTTTTTGGACAAAGTGTTGGCAAAGTTCAGAAGAATATTTTATCTTCTGAAGTGCTTGGATATGTTACAATAGAGCTGAATGACCTAGCAATAAATGGATTGTTCAGCACTGAGTAGCTGCTTTATGATTGAAATCCTACTGTGTTCAGCCACCAGGATTTAACTGCATTGCTTCTGGCTCTTTCTGGACTATCTCCACATTATCCAAGCTATCTGGCACCAGCTCCAGATGAACTAGCTGAATTGGTTGTTGGCCAGTATGGATTTCTCACTGGGAAAATATAGGAGACTAAACACACTGAAATTGTATCACTGTGAGCTTCTCTTTGACTAATACTGTCTGTCATCTTTCTTTGAATTTGTAAACAAGAAATTTTTTTAAAATTAGTAAATACTGAGGAATTTAACTGCAAGTAGAATAATTGCAGGTAGTAGACTGATACTCCTACAGCCCACAGAGAAATGGTACAGATCTTGGGTTGGCTAGCAATTTCTTTAGAGAATTCTCAGTGCTGGTGTAGGCATACTTCAGATAGAGAAGTTGAAGACTGAAGTTTAATGTGCAAGTTTGGTTATGCTCTTTTTGTTACCTAGCTCAGGAATGTGGCCCTACTGTCATTTATCTATGAGTGCAACCTTCTGACAGAATTTGTAGGTGTTTCTCTGAAGGTACCAAGTGAAACAGATTCTTTCTGTTGCTTTCTGTTTGCCTCTGTCATACTTGCTCTAATGATGGAAAATAAAAAAGAACACGTATACTTGTGATATTTCAGAATGGTGGGTTAAAGGCATGAACTTCAGCTTTGATTCAACATAAATCCATTCTAGTGCAAAAGACAGTTTTTTTAATTCTGATGTAGGATGGTTATAAGGGCCAGAATGAGCCAGTGAATCAGACTTTCCCAGTTTAAAGTGAAGATTATCTGTGTTCTGTGGAATGAATGCACTAAGTTCCTGGAATTTTGCCTCCACTTTGGTGGCAGAGCTTTTCATTTTTGTGTCCTTTGACTTGCCCTTCAGTGTTCAGTATCTTTGTGCTAACTGAAAAGCTACATTTGGAGTCATGCTTAGGTTTTATTTATTCTCCAGCCCACTCTTTCTGCTTTGTGCTACCATTTCGAAACAGATTGGAAGAGCCTGATTAATTTCTATGTTTTGTGAGATCTGAGAATTGGAAAGTCTTATTTGTTGTTTTTTCACCTCTTCTTGCAGCTTTCCACTTTTGGCCAGTTTCTTGCATGACGTTGCTGTTGTTTGCTGTTCTTTTAGTTAAGTCTAAAGCTCTTTTATAAAGTTTTTCCCCTTTGGTGTGGTAAACAAAATTACAAATTGCTCCAGCCCTTTGCATATTTTAACTCAATTCCAGGTTTTCTGGCTCTTTAAACCACCTTAACTAAAACTCTGGCTTATGATCTTTGTGCAGATTTGTCCTTTAAAAATCAAAAACCTTAAAAATTGGTTTGATTCTTTTGATTTGTCTGAATACTTAATTGCTTGTCCAAGATTGTTCTTAAAACCAGCACTTCTGTGATGTCCTTGTTATTCATCAAAACTGAAGCACTGTGAGCTCTCACTTCTTGTTGTTCTGGATATTGGTTGATAAGGAAGCATCACTTTCGGAACCCAGGGTCAGGCTTTGCTTAGCAGCTGTTGGTTCTCTCACCTATATATGGAAGTTAATCTATACATTTCTCAACTCCTTCAGGAATCTCTGCTTAATCTCTACTTCTATGTTCAGGTTCATCTGTATGTTTGTAAGAGGCAGGAATTCTAGAGTGGAGTCTGTCATACAGCACTTAACAATCTTGGTTGAAAAACTACTCTTTTTTGAGTCTAACCAGAAAAGAGCAGGAAGAAGAGAAACGACAATGACAATTTTTTTGGTAAGGGTTAGAATGACAATGATTTGCCAAGATACTTGAGCATTAGCCATTTAAATTACATAAACAGATTAGGAATTTTGGCTTTCTAAACCTTTGTAAACAACACTCTTAATAAAACATTTTATTATAGTCTCAGAGGAAAGCATAGTATTTTTTCATTATCAAAGTCCATTACTTCAGTATTACCTTGAAGCCTGGCAGGGCTGCAACACAAACTGGTTGAAGGAAAGAGAAAACAAATTTAATTATGACAGAGGAGAAGACATTTATTTTCTTTTTAAGGAGCAATATCTGCATGTAATGAATGAACGGCAGAGGAGACTGGAGAACTTTCTGCTGTTTCTTAACTATGTATATATAGTTTAGGGGAAAAAATGGCTTTTGGAAGTGTTAATCCTTACACTGTGTATGTGTTTGATTGTAGAAATTACTGCACAATCAGACGCCAGTGAAATTCGACAGGACTGGAAACCAACATTCCTTAGTAATGAAGAGTTCACACAGTTAATGTTAGAGGTATATTATTTCTCATTTTCTGGGGGTAGAACAATTCCTCACCAGGAGTCATTCCATTATGAAATTTTTCAGTTTGATGACATGCCTTTTATTCTTATATTTGGGTTGTAGCTATATGTTTTCATGAAGATAAACCGTCAAAATTCCTATGTATTCAGAGTGTCAGAATTTTGTTTCAGAAAAGCGGATTTTCTTTGACCTACATTTTCAATTAAATAAACAAAGTAACAGAGCAAGTCCATAAATGAAGGTGTTTACTGTCCAAGTGGATATTTTAAATTATCAACATAAGGAAGGTACTAGAGAAAGAATTACTAAGCCTAAGTTAAAAATCCTAATTATGAAAAAGGCATAACATATCCATGTAACTTGTGAGCAATAAATGTTTTAATTTCTTTACTTGCTATGCTTTCCAAAACTTGTGTGAGAGCTTTACTTTGCTGAAGATTATGTAATTAGTTGCAAAACTACAGAAAGAAACTTTAAGTATAAGCTATTTTTTCATTAAAAATTAGCATGAGTAATTTATATCTTGTTAGTGAAACAATTTTTAATAATAGTTAAATGAAAAGTATTACAAATTAACAAAAACTTTTTAATTTTCATTCCATAGTTAAACCTTTGCTTTGATGCACAGATACAAAAAACGTTCAGGGTTTTGGTATTCTAAAAATTTTTTAAAGAATCCTCTGATATAAGAGGTTTTTTCTAAGATGTGAGCTTTAAAATTTCCTGTTTAGAAATACAGTTCTGTCATCCTTTTGTTGGTAGTTTTCAACTGAAACGTGTTGTATTCAGAGGAAAGAAATTTGAGTTCAGTAGAAGATAAGGCAGTCAGAACTGTATCTCACAAGTTTTCAGTAAAATCTCACTGCAAGTTTATTTCTTTGAGATTGGGAATATTGAGATTTTAAAATACTGAAATTAGTTTATTTTCCTGGCTGTTTTACTTGTTCTTCTCATAGTTTTCCCACATCTTCTTGCTTCTGTCTCTAGTTCATTTTTATGAGCTTTCTGATGTCTAAAATGGTGACGGAATTAAAAATAACAGGCAGGCAGAGTGGGAGTTGGGGAAAACAGTGGCTGTCTATATATGTACTTGCTTCTGAAACCACAGATTATTTAACAACAGAACAGTATGGAAATTGTAATGCTTTTAGTGTAAAAATAAGATTAAGGATTTTTAGTAGGGAAAGATATTCCCATTTCTTTAATAAACGAAAGTAAAATTGATCTGGATTATTTTCTGTATTGAATATAGCTTAATATTTTAAGTATGCTCTGTTTCTTTGTTATTTAACTGCCCATTATGTTTAATTTCAGGCTCTTGATGGTTTTTTTTTAGCAATTATGACAGATGGAAATATAATATATGTGTCTGAAAGTATAACTCCCTTACTTGAACATTTGCCAGTAAGTAACAAATTGCTTTCAGTAACATATCAGTTTGTCTGTGGTTGATTGGTGTTCTGATATGAGTACTAATTAATTGTAGGCCTTTTTGGCTTTGTAGGATAGATGTATGCTTTGTTTTAATGTTTCTGTTTTTTCTTCAGCACAATTGCTTCCTACTGGAGTATCTTCTATATTAAACATTTCCTTTGGAAATGCAGAATGCAGTCAGCACTGTGTTAGGGAGGATTGTGAAGTGCCACTGAAGCACTTCACAATCAGTTTCAGTGTAACTGAAGTACCACAGTTGATTTCAGGAGACCCTTTAGAGTTCACAGCCTCTACATGAGTCAGAAGAGTATTATGAAAGATCTAAAGAATTGAAATTTTTTTAAACTGCTTTTTTACTTCTTTCTTGACAAAGCACTCTGGTAAATACATTGGTGCTGGTTCTACTTTTTAAGTTCAGTATATACTTTTGGGTTTATCATATTCACTTATCTTTAATCTGGGTGACATTGCTCGCTGGTACATGTAACATTCTAGTTTTTAAAGTTACCTTTGTATAATGTTACTCTGAAGTGAGGCAAATTAATTGTTGTGAGCAATTAATGAGTTAAATTGAGTGCTTTTCTAAAGTGAAAGACAAATTCTCTTTAAAGGCAAGTTGTCTGACTGTGGTAAGAGACAAAATAAATTCTCTTAAGTTATGCATGATAACAGTCTGAGAATTTTTAAAAACATGCAGGTAATTGTGATTTTTATTTTTTCTTTTAGTAGAATTTACCAGGTTCTCAGAGACACGTTTGTTTCTGGTTTTTAGGTGTGATTTATGAATTCTAAACATACATTTTATGATTCCTCTTTTTTGAATATTTATCCAAATGCATTTATGCATATAATAGTTGCTCAGTTTTGCTGCATCCATCTCTGCTGTTCTCAGTTTTGTGTCCATAGCTGTGGAACTGTTTATAAAATATGGTAACTGGTAACTCATCCTCACCCAGCAGCTCATTCATCACCCCTCAGTAGGATGGGGGAGGCAATTGGAAGGGTAAAAGTGAGAAAACTCATGGGCTGAGGTAAACACAGTTGATTAGGTAAAGCAAAAGCCGTGCCTGCAAGCGAATCAAAGCAAGGAATTAATTTACCACTCCCCATGGTGTAGGCATATCAGAGTGAGGTCTTTTTTCTTGGAAAGTACTAATATGTATTCCAGCAGGTGGCTTTGTTGAGTCAGTAATGAACTGTGGCATTGTTTTGTATTAAAATAGTAGGCTTTGTGACATTGTACATCTTGAATTAATGCTTACTAAATCTTTTTCTTTCAGTCTGATCTTGTGGATCAGAGTGTATTTAATTTTATCCCAGAGGGGGAGCATTCAGAAATTTATAAAATATTGTCTTCTCACCTGCTGGAAAGTGATTCCTTGACACCGGAATACTTAAAATGTAAGTAGTTATTTTCGGCTAACCCCTGCAGGCAGCTCAGCCCCACACAGCCACTCACTCACTCACTCACTCACTCACTCCTCTCAGTTGGATGGGCAAAGAATCAGAAAAGTGAGCAAACTTGTGGGTTGTGATAAAGGCAGATCAACAGGTGAAGTCAAAAGCTGTCTGCACAAGCAAAGCAAAATAAGGAATTAGTTTTCTCCATCTGGTCAGTAGGCAGTTGTTCAGCTATCTCTAGGAAAGCAGGGCTGTGTCATGTACGATGATTACTTGGGAAGACAAATGCCATAAACCCAGATGTCTCCCCTTTCCTCCTTTCCCCAGCTTTTATTGCTGAGCACAGTGCCATACAGTGTGGAGTATCCCTTAGTTCAGCTGTCCCTGCTGTGTCCCCTCCCAGCTGCTGGTGCACCCCCAGCCTCCCCACCAGTGCATCAGAGTCAGATAAAGAGAAGGCCTTTGCACTGTGGAAGGGCTCCTGAGCAGGAATGGACACATCCCTGTCTTAGCAGCACTGTTCTGGTCAAAATCCAAAACAGGGCACCATGTGAGCTGCTGTGGAGAAACTTAACCCTATCCCAGATAAAACTACAGTGGTTGTGTTAAAACTATCTACTTGGAATTATACAGGATCAGTTTTTCCAGTGTTACTTAAGCAGGCACATATACACAGGGCTGTTCTTCAGCCCTGAGGAACAAAAGTGTTACTTTGTGTCACCCCTGCTCTAGAGTAGAATTTTCAGTTATGTTGCCTTTCAGTCTATAAATTTCTTGTGTGACAGAAATGTTCATATTGTTTATAGAGCTTCTGTTTAGACAGTTTTAGCACTTGGCAAGTATAAATACATGGCAGCCTAATGGAGTTTGGGAGCATGTGCTTTAGTGAACTTAAGTTCAGGGCATTTTCTTTAATGCAGCTCTGGTTCTCAGAGGTTTTCATGTCACTAATATTCAAGCCCTTTGTGCACAAGATCTAAAGGAGTTCTTTAGGTTAGTTACTGTCATGCTGGTTAAAAGCAGCCAATGTTGATGCCTTATGATTTTACCCTTTATATTTTTCAAATCCTGTATGGCACTAACTCTAAACTCCATATAAAGTGTTAGTTAACTATTGGTCAGACAAAACAATCCCTATAGGCCTGAGATTCAAGAACACCCTACAGCCTCAGGCCCCAAAAATTGTAAAGAAAAGTGAACTGGGGGGGGAAGCAAACTGAGGGTATATGACTTCATTACCTGAAGCTGTAATTGGAGGATTAACCCCCAATATGTAAATGGACCAAATGTATATCTATATCTGTTTGAAAACCTCATGACCATTGTCCATCTTGGGTGTATCCTGTGGAAGGCTTCTGACTGCCCAAGGTGTACCTGTTTGAAGGCCTTTAATAAATATCCACTTTATTCTCTTATTCTTGTCTAGCCTGTCCTAGGTAGCCACTCCAAGGCATCACTGTAGCTAGCTGTACTCATTACACTTACAGTACCTCAGTTGTATTCAGCTTAATTATTCCTGCATTTCATTTCATGTTGTATGTGTGCTTCATCAAGCATATAGCCTATTACTTTGTTTATTTTTTTTCCAGCAAAAAATCAGCTAGAATTCTGTTGCCATATGCTGCGAGGAACAATAGATCCAAAAGAGCAACCTACATATGAATATGTAAAATTTATAGGAAATTTCAAATGTTTGAATCATGGTAAGTAATTTCAGCAGTGTTGGAATGGAATACGTAGGCAGCTCCACAGCTAAACTGGCTTGGGACCATGGTGCAAAATGTAGGTGAACTAAAATCAGGCTTTCCAAAGAAGATCTTGAAGCAGTTTTGTTAATTCTGTATTGGTGTAGTGGAAAGGAAGGAAAACTGCCTATCACATATTACAGGTCTGTGTATTTGAATGCAAAATGCAGTAATTGTCCTTAATGCTTTAAATTAAAGAAAACTAGTATTCTGTAAAGTATTGTTCAAAAGAAGGTAAGAGAAATTTAGGCAAATGCTTTAACATAAAGAATCTGAGTTTAGTTCAGCATAAGCCATATTTAAGTAGGTGACTGACTTAAAGATTAGTGGTACAGAGTACCTGCAGTTCTCATTACACAGGTAACTGAGAAGGAACGTGTAGGTTTTCCCCCATCTCAGTTCTGTGCTTCACTTGACAGGAATTACCCCTCAGGTGAGTGGGTGGGCCCTACAGTTTCCCACATTGAGTTCCTGCTCCCTTCCACTGAAATTATTTTTATTAGTGATGTATAATATTCTTTCTCTGTACTGCATCTCTAATCTGTTTGGCCAGGTTGTGCTGACTATTTACTTGAGAAGCCTGTTTATTTTGTCCAAGTGGGTTCTGCAGTGTGGTCAGTAGTAGATTCTTAGAAAGCTCACCCAAAAATATTATGAAAACCAGTAAAAAAACCAGTAAATAAATCTGTGGGGTTTTTTATCTGATACCAGTGTTTCACAAAATGAGAAGAGGTTGGGTCTTAATGTAAATGCAGTTATGTAATATTATAGGATACACAAGAAACAGTCCTGAAAAGGCCAAATATCATGTTAGTCCTGGAATGAGGAGCTGGGAAACTGCAGACCTATTGGTTGCAATTCAGTATTTGGAAATACTCTGGAAAAAATAATTAAACATATATGAATTTCAGGAAGCTAGCAGGGAATTGAATGGCAATCACTGTGGATTTTTCAGGTAGAAATAGCATCAAATCAGTTCAGCTTCCCCTACCAAAGAGTAACACATTGTGTGGATAAGAAGATAAAGCACAAACAATGATGGACTTTTAAAATATATTTTTGTTATCATATTCTCTTCTCACAAATATGTTAGGGAAGCACTTGTTAATTGAAATTGCTGCAGGGTAGCTGCAGGAACTGATTGAAAAGGTTAACCAGTGTTCACCATCAAAGTGCAATTTTAATTGACAACTTCTGGATTTGATCAGTGGAACATAGTTTGCAGTTATGAAATAATCCACCAAAACCAACAGAAGAGTTCATCCCCAAATTTAGAAAAGAAATTAATTTGGGCTAAAAACCCAGAAAAATTGACTAAGAAATAATGCAAGTTACTACATTTAGGAATATCAAACTATATGAACAGGGATAGTTGCAACCAGTTACATAGCAGTCCTTTAGGAAAAGGAGTTTCTGTGGGATGTAAACTGAACAAGTCACCTTGACCATCCACCAAGCTGAGAAAATGAAAAAGCCTTTCTAATATATAGTCTAAATCATATGAAGTAATCCCTCTGTACACTTAGCACAAGGCAAGATAAACTGTGAAGAACAAAGGACAAAGGCTAAGAAAAAAATAAAAGAAACTGCCTGTTTTCTTTCTGATGGAAAGAGCAAGGAGCTGTAAGATGAAATTGCATGAAGGAAGTTCAGTAGGAGTTCTAATCTAGAGCTGAATTAAAACCATTGGGGCTTTGGAAAGCCTTCAAAGTGATTTGAAATCACCATCTCTAGACCTTAGTAAATATAAACTAAATTGATAACTGCTGGAAATGAAAGATAAGGTTACTCTGTTTTGAGGTCTTGCCCATCATTTGCCTCCTTTTGATTCCATCTCTATGATTCAATAAGTGGAATTTGTTCCCAGCTCAGTAGCCTGATTCTTTCACTTCCATAATTGTGCCTTTGATTCTTCTGTTACTCGGTATGTCGTCAGCATGTGTTGCTTAAATGTGATGGAAGGTCTAGAAAAGAAATACTTACCTCAGAGTTCAAAAGAAAATAATAGCCAAAATATAAAGATATTTTTCAAGAAAGTGTAATCCAGTGATTTTTACCAGTTAGCAAGGATTAGAACCATTACTAGTTCCTTAAAAATGCTCTGTCAGCAATAATATCATATTAGTGCTAGTTCTAGTTCTTTGGGAAAGTTACTTGATGGTCATGTTCCCATTACTACTATGTAACTACTCCTACTACTGTGGTACTATTCCTGTGCATGCAAGTCTAGATATGGAGCATTTTTCTTAAAGCCTGTTAAGTTACAAGCAAAGCACAGATAAATATTGGCCACTTATCTTCTGATATTATTGCCATTTTCCTCCATACTTACATTGGCATGTGTGTTGTCATCTCCTCTGTCTGCCCGCAGTTCCCAACTCAGCGCACAATGGTTTTGAAGGAACTATTCAGAGATCACACCGGCCTTCATATGAAGAGAAAGTTTGCTTTGTAGCCACAGTTAGATTAGCTACACCTCAATTTATCAAGGTATGTACAAATGAAATCACTTTTATATCATTCTTAAATGGACTCTGAATGGGAAAACTTCAGAGAGAATGCACACATTTGAAATACTAATGAAAACCATAAGGAATCCTGTTACATGAAACTGAAAGTGTCTCTTACTTCAAATAAACTAAGTTTTATGCAAAGTGTCAAACAAAGTTGTGGTGAACACTAATTTTAAATAGTAACATAAAAGAGAAATATGCATGAAATAAATTTCCAAGTCCACAGGAATATAATTTAGTAAGATGAACTTAAACAATATGAAAGATTACATTGAGATTCCACTTTCACTGGAGAAATGAATCCAGTGAATGAATAGAAAGTTGATTTTAGTTGAAACTTGGATGTGAATTTTTTGTTGCTGGTGATTTTTCTGCAGTTTGACACAAGTAAATCTCGGAGAGCTTAATGAAAGCTTACATTATTTGTCAGTAATGAAGAGTTAGGTTTGGGGTAATAGAAATCTTTTGTTTCAGTGCAGTTTTTCAGAAACTTAGTAGTTTAAACCTACCATTTTGCTTAGCTGCTGATGTACAATGTGAAGTTGCCTTTCCAAGTTTAGAATTGAATGCATATGATACTGGTAGTTCAATAAGTATAATCCTGTTTCTCTCCAGAACCAGTCAAAATAAATACTCAGGATACAGTACAGTACAGTATAGTCTGTGATTGTGATTCCAATTATATGTTTCATACAAATGCATGAATCAAGGTTCAGGGTAGTTTGCTATGTGACATTTGTTTTTGCAATTCACCTGTAAAGTAATGCCATGAAATGTATGCAGCCTGATGTTAAACTACTGCAGTAGTCTGTAGTACAAGAACTCTTAACATTCAAACATTCTGCGTCTTAAGTTTAAAACACTCATGTCGTGAGCTTAAGACTGTTGGTGGTAGCTTCTGAAGACATGGTTTCAAAAGCATAGTAGGGAGCCTGTGGAGAAATCATATAAATCCCTTCAGTTCTGTCAGGCTGAATAGGAATTTTGTCTCTCCAGACACTATGCCAGAGAAAGTTTATTCTTTCTGAAGCTATAGAAATCTGTCATGTGACACTTTTCTTCCCATGCAGGTCTAAAAAAATATTCTTCCTGTTATGCCTACAGTTGGTAGGTATGTTATATGTGGGATTTTTGCTTCATTAAATAATTGTGGAAAAAAAGACCAACCTGACATTTGCAATTGCTTTTGTCTTTTAAAGTATGACAGTTCATAGTAAAACTTTTATGTTTCCTACTTCTGGAAGCTGAGGAGCATCCATTTGTGATCTTCAAGTGACTCAGTCTCCTGCAGGCTAAAGCCTTACAGATTATTCTGTGGCCAAAGTTTCATTCCTGTACTTGAACCTCTGAGCCCTTAGTGCCCAAGGAAGCTTCCATGTTATAAAATTTTTAAGATCCTCCTAAGACTTTCAACTGATGCTGTTTATTTGGGAAATCTTTTGAATAAGATTTACATTAAAGAGGAAGACTCAGATTAAAGAAGAAGACTTACATTAAAGACTTGATACCTTCTGTTATTATTGAGGCTCGCATTGACTAGACTTTAGCAAATTAGTGTATGTCAGGAATTTTATGATCCCAGTAACTTCACTAACAAATGTGTGATGCAGCCAGTAAGGAAATGTGTGTTTCAATACTTGCCTTATTTAAGGTAGAACGTGTCTGCTCATCTGTCACTTACTCTCTTTCTTTCTGTTGGCATATGGTTCCAGATTTTTTTTTCTGAAATATAATATCTCAGGATATGCAATGCTTTTTGCACCTTTAAAGTTCACGTTTTTATTTTATGCATATGACTCTACCACTTCTGCAAAAAAACATATCACAAATTTTGCTCCCTAGTGAAGGCATTTGGTTGTACACTTTCTTTAAAACATTTGTCTTGCATTTTAGCTAGTTGATGATTGCCTCCTATCAAGAAGGCAGGATTAATCCAGCCAAAAGGATTTTACCAGAATACTTTTTGTTACAAATGAAAGTCCTTTCTTTTCTAGATGCCTTGTTGACAACTTCAACAAGAGGCCTTGTTGAACAAGCTGGCTTCTGCCCAGGGGTATTTTACAGTGGAATATCTGCAAATTATTAATATAAATGCATTGAGTAATTGGATGCTAACCTGCTGCCATTTCCTCCCTAACCATTATGTTTTTACTGTGGTTTTACTGCCTGCACTTCAGTGATTTTTACTTTTGTTTTGACTTGTGCCAAAATATTTAGATCAAAATAAGCAACAAATCAAAAGTATATCTCAAGGATATACTCTTGCTCTGTCATTTCTCTTACTTTGAGTGGTACTTTGGGTGCTTTATTAAATGCTGTAATTTTAGAAAAGTAGATGAGCTTTTGGTTCTAGGGCTAGTTTCAGGTTTGAAGCTTAAGTCTTGCTGACTGGAGTTTACATCAGCAGTCATAAATTTGTGCCCAGAGTTGTTAAGTTCAGTGCTTCCATCTAATTCATCCATCGTTCCATCATTTTCTAAGTCATTGTCTTTAGATTTTACATTGATGAATGTGAGGGAAAAGCATTGCCTAGGTATGGTCACTTTTTCCTTTTATAGGTAGATAACTTAGATCTATTTAAAAAACTGGAAAGTATACAATTAAACTCCTTGGATTATGACCTGAAAGAATGAAAAGAAAGGTGTTCCCTCTGTTGGTCTTCTGCTGTATTTTTCTGCAGGACTACTTTAGTTACAGATGTTTTCAGGGCAGCAGTGTGCTCATCTGTCCACACTTGTTATGAGTATCATGTCAGTGTAGCAGCAGCTTCCACATTGCAGTTTAGGAAACTTTTCTACCTGATCATCGATAGATTCCAGTGTGCTCCTGGCACTGGAAATACCATTGCAAGCTCCTGCAAATGACAAATGTGTGCAGGTGTCCAAAAAAGAAACATTTACTTATCTCTTAATTTTAATGTAATTCTTTGAGGGGTGTATTTGTGTGCATGTATTCCACTATCCATCTTCCTTCTCATAAGGCAGTACTAGAGGAGTTTGCAAAGGAATTGGCTGGCTTGGGGTGCGTGGTATTGTGACTGTCTCTGCATGAGGCACAATTCTCAGTGGGGCATATTCTCCTTTTTTGAAGGGGTAGTAGAGTTGACAGTAGAAGTCAGCTGAAGTTGTCTGAATACATTTGAGTGGAATACATTTAGAATTATGTGCACAATACCTTAAGATTCTGTTGTAATGGAAATACAGCTGTTCTCTTACTTTTCATGAGTTCTAAACATAAGAATAGTGTGTTATTTGTAGTGCATGTCTGTGCACTCAAAGAGATTTAGGGTACTTTGTGTTCACCAAAGGGAAGAATCATATTCCTAAACTCCGAGTAATGAGACCATTTTACTAATATTGGGTTCTACCCATTAAAAACACAGACTATAATCAGACTGGTGGGAATGTTTCATCTCTTCTTTTGAGTGTTACAATTTAAAAACATAACTACAGGACCTATAGATTTCTTCTTGTACTGCTGTGTTTGTAGATATTGCATTTGAGTTCAATCTCATTACAAGGTTAGTCCATTTAAATCAACCAAGCATCAGCTTGGCATGGTTGAGATTAGATTCAGATTAGATTCTGCCTCAGTACTGTGCATCTAAACAGGCAAAACAAGGAAGCTGTCTAAAAATAACATTATAACTATTGCAGAATTATCTACTAACTTTAGGTATGTCTGAATTCTGAAAGAGCTTAGGTACTAGAATAGAGCAGTTTTAAGAGATTTTTATTTTTTTCCTTTTCAGGAAATGTGCACTGTTGAAGAACCCAACGAAGAGTTCACATCTAGACACAGCTTAGAATGGAAGTTCCTATTCTTGGATCACAGGTGCAGTTCCTTCTGTGTAGTAGCAATAGCAGCTGAATCACAGTGGTGGCTGTAGTATTTGGAGTTCACTAATTTGCATTAACTGCTCATGGCTTGTGTTGGGTTTAATTTTTTAATTTTCTTTGGAGCATATACTGTAAACAAGAAAGCTTATATAATTAATTCGGATTTGTTAGAGATGTGTGTGAAAATAACATTAATTTTTCTTTTTATTAATTAGGGCACCTCCAATAATAGGTTATCTTCCATTTGAAGTTTTGGGAACATCAGGCTATGATTATTATCATGTGGATGATCTAGATAATCTGGCAAAATGTCATGAACATTGTGAGTACAACCAAGTCACTAAAAGGAGCAAAGTTGTTAAATTGATCACCTGTTCTGGTGAAATTTTGTGATATTTTGAAGGAAGTGTCTTTACTCCCATTCGTTTGACATTATTTTACTGCTGTTCCATATCTTCTTTTCTTTTGATTCAGAACTACAAAACAGATTTAACTTTATTTTACAATTGTGGGGTTTCACTGGGGTAAATTGGAGTGCACAGCTCTATGACTAATACTTTCCCAGTTCTTCCAGTCGCATTTAAAAGGCTTTATAATGTTGAATAAGTGCAAAAGCTGGTGGAAAATTTTTGAACCTGTACTTGGTCATTGTCTTAATCCTGGTTTTAGACATGGGTTTGGGCTATATGAACTTGGGGAATAATGTTCTTTTAATGTAATTGGAGTATTTACAACCTGGCAAGACAGTAAACTTTATTCTTCATCTTTATAGTAATGCAATATGGGAAAGGGAAGTCATGTTACTACAGATTCCTTACAAAGGGACAGCAATGGATTTGGCTGCAAACTCACTACTATATCACGTATCACCAGTGGAATTCCAGGCCAGAGTTTATTGTCTGTACGCACACTGTTGTAAGGTAGGTTATTTCTTAAAGTAATCCTAGTGGTATGGGAGCTATCTTGATGGTGTTTTGGAGGTAGAGAAATTATAGCAGTGTGAAGAATCACCGGAGAACTTCTTGAGATACTTTGTAAGCAAGATGGGTTTGAGGAGTTTGGTCTTTGAGGTGCATTTTTTAAATCATCTCATGATATAGCGGTTATCTTTGATTTGTTCTTCTAGTTATGCAGAAGTTAGAGCAGAAAGACGACGAGAACTTGGTATTGAGGAATCTCTCCCAGAGATAACAGCAGATAAAGTGAGTATTTTATGTAATCTTATTTTACATCTTCACAGACTAAAAATAATATGCAAGCAAATATATAGCAGCAGATAGTGTTTTGTCCCCCAAAAAAGTAATTATTTGATCTCTAAATAATGTGACTATTGAAAATTATCAAGGAAGTCTAGAAAGAGTGTTTAACTCTGCCTGTAACACCCTTATCTTTTCAGGAATTAATGTGCATGTAGTTATAACAGTTACAACACCCATAAGTTTTTATTAAGATCTGATTTCTGCAGTGTTAGATTTCTAAATAAATGGTCTCCCTTACTGGAACTACACATAATCTGAAAACCAAGATCAACACACCAAGAAGAAATTCACAATAGGAAAGTAGAAGCTCTTTAATTGTGTGACTCTAACTTCTTAAAAGTATACAAAATTTGTCTTGAATTAATGTCCTTGGGAGCTCAATGAGTCTTATCAGCTTGTGGAGATGATCTGACATGTTTTACTCTGACAGTTCAGAAATGTTTTCCTTTGGCGGTTTCACAAGTTTAATCTGTCAGTGCTCCTAATGGAACAAACTCATCCTTTCTCAGAAGAATAAGCAGTTCACTCATTACAGTTCACTCATTACACTGTTGTTCAGAGTGAAATGAGTGGCTGCAGAAGGAGCTCAGCTCAGTAGTCAGTTTGTGGCCTAAGTCTGCATGCATTTTGCTTTCTGGGCTTATTTAGCTTTGGCTTCCAAAGATAAAAGCCTCAAATGGAAACAGAGCTTACAGCCATCAAACTTCTGCATGGTCACCTGTGTAAGGAGGTCGATTAGAAACAAAAAGGTCTGAGATATTTTCTAACAGAAATATGTATTGTGCTGGATTAGATAAATATTTGTTTTTTATGTGTGTCTCTTCAGAGTCAGGACTCTGGGTCTGACAATCACATAAATACAGTGAGTCTCAAAGAAGCACTGGAAAGGTTTGATACCAGCCCCACACCTTCTGCTTCCTCCAGGAGTTCAAGAAAATCTTCACATACTGCAGTATCGGATCATTCATGTAAGCACCAACTATTGAAAACAAAATTGCTTTCCTTATGAGGGCTTTCTCAACTTAATTTTATTAAATGCATAACTGACAGTTAATAATTATTTTATGAGGTGTGTGCAGGTGAAAATTCCCTTTGTGATGGTTCAGAGATCTGCAGACTACTCTGAAAAAGATTTTTACTTCTAGAGTACAATATCAGACACTAGTACACCCTATTTCAATCCATCAGACTGGTGGATAGTCAGGGAAAAAAAAAAAAAGAGTCCAAGCCTTTACAGTTTTTTTATTCATTAAAAGCTTCCTGTAATTAGATTATTGCATTACAGAATTGAGATAGCAATTAAGATGTTTCTCTTTGTTCTATCTCTCAACATTGTCAGCAACACCAACTAAAATGACAGTGGACACTAGCACTCCTCCAAGGCAAGGCTTATCTGGTCGTGAAAAGACTGCACAAAGAAGATCATCTCTGAGCAGTCAGGTAACTTCAGAGAAGAATGTTGTACTTTACAGTGGAGTTCACCTTTAAAAGCTATTATTAAATCCATATAAGCTTTTTTTTATTTCTTCTAAAAACATAGTTTAAACTTCAAGAGTTTTTCTTAGAATAAATGTCTTAGAATTGCATCGTCAGTATTGGTATAGTAGATTTTAAAGGGATACTATAATTAAGCATATATGTATTTAGGTTTTGTCATTAGGATTTGAAAGAATGTGAAGAAATCTCTGCTTTCATTCACACGGAACTTCTTTCTGTGATTCTGGATTTTTAATACACGCACAGATATATATGTGTAAAATTGCCAATGTAAATGCTATGTGTGTCCCTGTAGAGAACTCAAACAAATTTATGACTAGGAATATTAGTGAATATTTCCATATCCTTTCTGAAATCCTGGTAGTATGAGAAATTGTCATGCCTCATGTACTTGGTGCATGTTTTCCTGTTGAACTAATACATTCGCTTCATAAACAGAATGCTTATTAAATATGCATTACAATATTATATATATCAATATATCTGGATTTCTATTAATATAGAAATATAATATATAATTGTTCTTAAAATATTTAGTTTAAGAATAAATCAAAGGTGTCAAGTTCCAAACTTGTTGAAATTGAGACTTCTGAAATACTTGTTGTTGTAATTTCTGTTTTTCTGCTTGTATATATTTTTAGCAGTAGAAAAATTATGTATGTATTATGTAGATAATCAATTGCTTTTGTTTTCTTAATAACTAAGGTTAGATATTTCAGGAAACAATTTACTATAGTTTCTATTATATGTTCATATAATGCTGTTTTGAATTTGACTCTTTAAAGAAACACTTGATGTCGAATATGAAGCTCATTCTCTTATGATTATGCAACAATTTTTTTAATCCTAGTCTTTAAGCTCACAGTCTCTCGGACAACCAGTAACACAGCCAGCAATATCTCAGCCTGCAACTTTACAGCTCCAGTCTGGAATGACTCAGGTATGGATTAATTCAATTTATTATTTATTATTTTTTAAGCAGTTTTGTTCTCCTGCAGTAATGGGCCGCCTGTGGCTTGGGTGGATGCACTGTTCACTGAGAGAAAAGCAGTTTGGATAGCCAGGCCCAGAGAGTGGTGGTGAATGGAGTTACATCCACCTGGCAGCCAGTCACTAGTGGGGTTCCAGAGGGCTCAGTACTGGGGCCAGTCCAGTTTCATATATTTATTGCTGATATGGACAAAGGGGTTGAGGTCACATCAGTGAGTTTGCAGATGACACCCAGCTGGGTGAGAGGGTTGATCTGCTGGAGAGCGGGGAGGCTCTACAGGGGGTCTGGACAGGCTAAGAAATTGAGTCCTTTGGTGCCAAATTATTCTCTTGAAATGAGCAAATTCTGTAATTTGACACTTTTGCTTTCGTTTTTTCTTCCTGTTATGTGTATGGATATAGTTTTCAGCCTTGTGCATTAGCAACATAGATATAAAAACAGTTAAAGCTGAAATGTTTTAGGGCATGAATTTAAAAATCCATCAACGCGGCTGGCAGCTTTCAGGCATATGCTTATAGCACAGGGCTGCTTGGTCTGTGAAATGCTTCTGTATAATAAGAACAGGATATATTCCTCAGACATCTGCTATAGGCCCCTAGTCAGTATAACCTTTTGATATACTGACTTGGGGCCTATAGCAGATGTCTGAGGAAAAACAGAAGTAGCTAATAGTTTCTCTATGGGCTCAGCCTTCAGCTTTTTGTGACTGAGGGTATTTCCAAGTTATTTGTATGTTTTAGCTCTGGGTGAATATTTTTTTCTAAACTGACACAATTATAATTTTTAACATGAGAGAGCTTTAACATCTACAGTACCATGTCAATTACTAAGGCTAGACACACACTTACACATATGTTTGTGATTTGGACACCAGTCAGTTTCTTGTGCTGTGGAATTCTTTTAGTTCACCAATTCTCGTACATCAGCTAAATGTTGATTCTGATTCTGTGATGTTTTCATACGCATTAATTGGTTCTCAGATTGTGGTTTATTACTAATTTGAAGAGCAATGCTTGATTTATTTGCTTCTGTGGAGGACTGTACTTATCTCTTGTGAATAAAATGTAATTTTTGCTCAGCTTTTAATTTATTGATTGCACTACAGCCTGTGTTTCAGTTTTCAGCTCAATTGGGAGCTATGCAGCATCTAAAGGACCAGCTAGAGCAAAGAACTCGCATGATAGAGGCAAATATTCATCGGCAGCAGGAAGAGTTGCGTAAGATCCAGGAGCAGCTTCAAATTGTTCATGGCCAAGGACTCCAGGTGAGTTATTGTATCACTTACAGGTTTCATCTGTAGAGAATTTAGACATCTGAAATGTGTCTTGGGCACCTAATTCCACAATATGATCCTCCATATTCCCGGTCAGCTGCCATCTGACATTTAGACATATATGTCTAAACTCCAGTATCTGAAGCTGCTGTTCCAGAGGTACCTGATGTTTTGCTTTCAAATGTATCTGGAAATGCCCCAGTGTCAAGCCTAGCTTGTCACTTAACCTAAATAAATGTAAAAGGATGGAGTGGTCATTCATTCTTGCAAAGTTTTGCAACCATTAGAACATTAATCCAAAATCTGCAAGATCTCTTTTTCCCTTTTAGCTCTGAGGATGTTAAATCTGTGTTTCTTTGCTTAAACTGTCCTATCAGGCTGAATAGCTCTACTTTGCATGGTAAACTTGAAGGAGTTACTGAGCCAGAAAGACTGAGGTCTGGAGGGTGCATTACTCAGTCTAGCAGCTGACTACATGATTTCTGATTTTTTTTTCACCAGTATATATTTTTCTGTTTTTGTCATTGTCTTTTCAGTAGCTATGCTTGGAAGAAAAGAATTACCCTATTGGCTTTTTCTAGTTAAAAGACCCAAACAAAAAAAAACCCTGATCACCTCAAACTAAGATATATTTTAAGGAAATAATTTAATATTTTCAGTCTGGATTGTGACTAAAGAATAGAAAAAATACTTCCTGGAAGTATTGAGAATGTTGCTTAAATTCTGTTGGAAGAGTAGGAGTTTCTGGCGTGTGCCATTTTCAATTGTGTGGTATTTAGTGTAAACATGCCAGCAGTAGACTGCCTTATTCATGTCTCAAAAGGAGAAATTCACAGCTCTCCTTTCCATGCAGTGTGGAGGGACCTTGTTCAGGAATGTGAAAACTAGAAAAAATACTTCAGTGATACACATTCTGCCTTGTTGTAGACTTGGGCCTAACTTTTTGTAAAGAACATAATATTTTTGTGCTGAATTCTGTTTATTACAACAGTGTTGGAAAGTTCAGTACAATCATTAAGATTTCCTGATTGTCAGGGAAGATTACATTCTTGATGCTATGCCTGGGTCTACTAATTCAGAGATTTTCTTCATCTGATTTAGTGTTACTGAGGAATGTCCTACAAAAATGAAGTGTCATTTCAAATATGTTTTGTCTTTAGATAGTTGTAGACTACATTACTGGTTAGTCTCTAAATGGTGCTTTTTCTTTAAGAATAAATATTGAATGTTAATGCTTAGGACTCTGGAAATTAGGATTCTGATTCTTACCAGATAGAGTTGAGTCTCTGAATACTGACCCTATAACTTGTGGAATTTTTTAAGATGTTCTTGCAGCAGTCAGCTTCTGGACTCAACTTTGGTTCTGTGCAGCTTCCTTCTGGAAATTCTTCAACTGTTCAGCAGCTTACACCAATAAACATGCAAGGTCAAGTTGCTCAGACTAATCAGACTCAAAGTGGGATGAACACGGGCCATATAAATACTCCACATATGATACAGCAGCAGCCTTTGCAGAGTACTGCAACACAGGTAAAATTCTATTACTCAATTTGGATTGAATATTTGATCAAAACCACATCTGAAACACAACAGCTTCCCTGACATTCCCCTGTTACGAATCAGTGTTTGAGATTGCTTAAAAAATCATTGGCAAGGGTATCAGCAAAAACCTGATTTAATATTAAGTGGTAGCACGACAAAGTTTGTTGGCAAGATTCACTCTACTACTTACTGGACAGTTAAGGCACAATAAGGAAAAATCAGGCAGCAACAAAACCAAAGAAAATCCAGGCAATCAAAACAGAAGTGAACTGAGAACTGTCTGGGGGTGTGTATATGTGTGTGTGTGTGTGTGTTTTGGTGCATGTGACAAAAGGACTGTGGGGGCAGAGATACAAAGGAACATGGCGTAAAAGCTTAACAGCATTCACCTTATACATTAAATGTAACAATGTAACAAAGAAATAGCTCTTAACTTATACCATAAACTTAACAATTCAGCTGAGGCATAACAGTCAACAGCATGTATCACCACAGAGGCTGTTTCTTCATGCTAAATACTTCTATTGGGTTTGACCATTATGTGTATGAAGACTCCATAAATGTCTAATCTCTGTACCCTTTTCCCCATTCTATACTTCTTTTTGAAATTTGTGAAAAGGCAGACTAGTGATGCATTTTACCATCTCAGCAGTAGGCTAGCTCCAAACTTTCAAATAAGAAATTCTTGGCATTATGTGCACATTTTACTCTAAGTTGGGCACAGAGATGCTAAAGGAGTAAAAAGATAATTTTGAATGAAAGTATGCAAATAGCTGAAAAATTTATGAAAAAAAATATAACCTGAACAGAAAAAGAGGTTAATGTAAGATAGATGTCCAAGGTCGAGTCTCATCTCTAAATCCTCAGTCAGTAGAAATACTTGTGTACTTTGAATGAAGAATTCATTTGAATAGAAAAAAACTGGTGGTTTTGAAGTATGGGCTGTGACAGTGAGGAGAACAGCTGTAGTACCTGGCTATTATCAACTTACTATCTCAAAATTTCTTTCCAGCATAATCAACAAAATGTACTTAGTGGACACAATCAACAGTCTTCTCTTGCCAGTCAGTCACAGAACACAGTCTCAGCACCTTTGTACAACACTATGGTGATTTCTCAGCCAACAGCAGGAAACGTGGTGCAGGTTCCCTCTAGCTTATCACAGAACAGCAACCAGAATGCTGCTGCAGTAACCACTTTTACACAGGACAGACAAATCAGGTAAATCTTCAAGACCTGTATTTGAGATGACTTTTTATAACAGTATGCATATGCAGCTGCACCATATACAAAAGGAACTAAAATAGCATTAAAAAGATCATGTGATTTGTGTTTCAATGGTATGGATACAACCCTTGAAATTAAACTGCTCAAAGTAACATGTTTGCAGGCTTATCAAAACCCATGTTGTTATAGCAAAATATGGCTTTGAGAAATCTGCTTTTCTCAAGTGTATGTTGTGCTTCATATATTTTTTTTCCTGAAGAGACTCCAGATGTCTTTTTCTATTAACAGATTTTCTCAAGGTCAGCAACTTGTAACAAAACTTGTCACGGCCCCAGTAGCATGTGGAGCAGTAATGGTACCAAGTACTATGTTTATGGGACAGGTGGTGACAGCTTATCCCACTTTTGCTGCCCAACAGCAGCAGACACAGACTTTGTCAATAACACAACAGCAGCAGCAGCAGCAGCAACAGCAGCAAAGTCAGCAGGACCATCAGCAGCAGCTCACCACCGTGCAACAACCAGCTCAGTCACAGCTGACCCAGCACCCCCAGCAGTTCCTACAGGTAATGAATGTAGAGCTGTCTACAGATTTTCCCAAGTCCTGGCACTTTCAGCATTGCTAGGTTATCCAGGGGTGCTTTAACTGAAAACAAGCACTTAAAATAGTAATCTGTGACTAAGCCAAATGCATGAGGTAAGTTTATTCTGTAGCAGTTCTCTAAAATCCTGCTACTTAGAGGAGAGGTGATCTTTCCTGCAGTTTTATTCCATGCATTGTCTGGTCTTACATCTGTTCCCTTTGAGTTGCTGCTCTTGATTGACTGTAGGATGAAAAAACAGATGTTTCCTTTAAAACAGTTAATGTTTTCTTTCACTAACTTTGCATGTTAATGCAGTGAGGTATGAGAGATGATGGTTGGTCTAGAAAGCAGCACACAGTCCAAAGCAAGACATGTCCCAATAACATGAGGCATGAAATTCTGTCTGGGCTGCAGGGGAGGCTGAGCAGCAAGCAACTTTTTAGGCAGGGAGTAGGGAAGAACATTGTTTTAGTGGAGAAAGAAGAGAGATTGGGTTAAAAGAGAAGGAAGACAAACCCAAGGAGTTTAGAAATAGGAAATATCTAAAAGAAGCAGAAGGTAGAAGGAATTGATGGGGAAATCTGTTGCCATTTGTTGATTCCAATTAATTACTGGAACATGCATCACCCAGCATCTGGAGTTGGTAAAGGAGATGTAGGGGTGGCTAGAACACTACAGAGGCTGTTTAGCAGGTTGGTAGTGTCTGTGTCTCTGTTTCTAAGTTTAAGTTTATACAATTTTGACTTAATTCTGGTGAAACAGATATGTGAAATATGAAGACCTCAAAGGTCTGTGCCTACTCTAGAATTTCACTCTAGGCGAAAGCCCAGTATTTTTAATATAAACTATTTAAGTGCTAGAATTTGAAGTGAAGTAAATATTCTTTAAAAAGGACAAAAGTGCCTTTTCTACTTCTGTTCACTGGGGCATCTTACAGTCTGATTGTGTAGGTGCAGCAGTTGATGTACTTTACTCTCTGCTGCAGAGCATTTCAGGATTGAGATGTCCTAGTGCATTTGTACCCATCCTTCATTGTTCTTATTCAGTAAACTTTTTTTTGTGTTATAAGAAGAATACTGTTAAAACCAAGTACCATTTCCCACAGTAATAAGTCTCCTTCAGAGGGGATGTTGGGATCTGCCAATGCACCATTTTATTTGACTGTGCATTTTGTCTGTGGGGAATAAATGTGATCTGTGCCAAATCATGCACTATTTTTTCATTTGACTGCAATGACAGCTACCTACACTTACTCAAATAGATTCTTTACTCCCTGCTATGCTTTTGTGGTGTGAAATGAAGACTAACTGCCATGTATTCCTACCTATCACCACAGAAATTCCAGAGACCAATTACAGCTGCTTTATTAATTGTTCAGATGCGCTAGTTAAATGTATTAGTATGAACAAATCCTTGCATTGTTTGCTGAGCTTAACTGGCCAAATCTGAAGTTTATTTTGATTGAACCCTTATAAAAAGTTAAAAAGCAGCTTGGGCCCATGTTTCTCAGTGCAGCAGGAAAAATAATTTTTTTTTTATTTTCGTGTTTTAGACATCCAGGTTACTTCATGGAAATCAGTCAGCTCAGCTTATTCTCTCTGCTGCTTTCCCACTACAACAAAGCACTTTCACTCAGTCCCACCACCAGCAGCATCAGTCTCAGCAGCAGCAGCAGCAGCAGCTGTCACGACACAGAACTGACAAGATGACTGATCCTTCCAAAGTCCAGCCACAGTAGTGTGGGCGCTGCCTCTTTTTGAAGCAAACTGCCAGGAGGGGCTGCCCCACAAACAGTTGCACTGAAGCTACAGAGGTAACAGTATGAAGGCTTTCTAGCACTGTGGTGTTGAGATCTACTTCTAACTTCTGGAATCTGTTAAGAAAAGCCACAAGATGATGACGGGGACATGGCCAACTTTGAGCGTTGCCCCAGTTTCTGTGTTCTAAAGGATTTGCTGCCATGTTGTAATTTGTCCAGGTGAAATCTCCAAATGTGACTGAAAAGAGAGTGATGCTGAAAATATTGGTATTTTTATCAATCCTGTACATTTTTAAAGTATTAAAATGGACATGGAGCAATTGTTTTGAATTAGCAGGAAAAAATGCCAGAAATATAGTCCAAAAACCATCTAATTTTTTTTCAGATGATTACAGGACAGTAAATATTTTGAAAATGTTGTGTGAAATCCAGTTCTCTGTTGTACAGATGCTGTAAAATATTGTGTATATGTCTGCATAAAAGGAGAAAGAGCAAAATATTTTATATGATGCATGAAAATGTAATCTGTTATTTGTAGGTTTGAATATGTTTCCCTAAATTCTCACGCCATACTCAGACTAATGTTTTCCTCTGTTCTACCCTTTTGTTTACAACATGATGCATCATTATTTTCACCCTTAATGTGGGCACAAGTCTCTTGTTTGTGCTTTGTCTGTGATGTCAGGGTTTGTTTGGTGAGGTATAGTGTGTTGGTTAGTTGACTGCTTGAAGTTAAATTATTGATGAAGCTGTTTGAACTGGTGATCATGCATCAGGGTTCAGGACATTCAGATTCATAAATATCATCCATCATTTCATAATGAATTCATCATTTTATTTGAAAAATAGGAATTTGCACTGCTTTCTTGCGGATGGTTTGGAATTTTATTCCCCAAAGCTATCTTTTGATATAGTTCATAGTTGGAAATATTTATGTAAAAGGTTTAAAAAAAATGACAGTAATTTTCAAGAATGTTTCAGTTATAGGAGTAATTTGCACAAAAATATATTTACATTTAATAACCTTTTGGGCACTTTTTAACCACTTTCTCTGTGGTGAGAATTGTAACTTGTTAAACCATGTTGGAATCTTTTTATTCTCCTTCAAAAATTAGTCAGAACTAATTCAGGGTCATTTTAACAACAACAACAAAACCCATAGTGCCTTGATTTTAATTCAGGTGATAATGTTGAACATCTTGAATTACAGTGTCTTGAATCTGTAACCATTTTCAATTTTGAAGTCTTAGCACATTGTCAACCAAACGTGTGTATCTACTTCATAGATATTTCTGTATTGTGTTAATTTTAACAGTGGTCTGAGTTGAGACCATGAATATTTTTGACTGGTACTCCCCCTCAGACAGTAGCCAGAAATACAGAGTCTCAAAAATCTCAGATCTTTAAGGTAATACTCTTAAAAAAAAAAAGCAAACCTTAAAAGACAGGACTCCTTTTGCAGAAGGAAAAATAATAAGCTGATTTTTTAAAATCGTTTCTGGAAGCATTTAAAGTGTGTTTTGGGGGAGACCATGATTGCATTTAACACTACCAGTTATTGATTTAAGAGCTATCACTGAACTAAGACTTCAGAAGGCAACTTCATTTTATAAAGAAAATAAAAAGTTCCAACAGATATGTGCTATTTAAGTAAACGTTGGTAGGTTTTTATGGTACTAGTTTGTGGAAACCAGAACTTGAGAGGAAAATTAACAAATGCTGATAGATCTGATAATTAATTAGAAACAAAAACCAGTAAAAGCAGTTAAAACTAGTGCTAGGGAGAGAAAGCTGGATTAATCTTGAATACTAGGGAGGAGTTGAATGAATGTAACAAATGGTGATGGTCTGTTTTGTACTGTGGAACAGTTTGATTGTATTACTGGATGAACCAAACCCGCAGGAGGTAATGCCAGTTTAGCAAGCCTTTGATGCCGTTGGTTACGTTTTGGGGCCAGCCTTTGCCTCTGCACGTGTCCCAGCATTAGACCTTTGTTATTCCCCAGTCATAAAGCAAGTGCTTGGCACCAAAAAGCCAAGCAGTGAACAAGGAAGGAGAGTGTGAGAAACACGGTACCAAAGAGAATCCGATTGCTCTCTGCTCCAAAAAGCCTATTGCAACCTGGAGCAAGGAACAGATGCCAATACCAAACATAGCAAGAAACACTTTCCCTTCTTTAAAGGGATTTCTGGCATTCTTCAGACTGGGATAATTGTCAGAGACTTGTTTCTCTAAAGTTCTATGTAAAGAAATCCTGCCTTGCTCTGCTATCCCTACCACTCCATTCCACCTGTTTCTATATGAAGCTGCATTGACTAGAGGTCTGTGCTATCACTTCTCTGCCTAATGGAAAATAGGTTATACACAAATTTCTTTAACCAATTACAATAAAAATATAGTGCTAAAAAATAAAACTGGGAGAGCTTTAATAGTGCTGTTAGAACTACTGAATAATGGTAAAATAGGTGTATTAAGCTATTATACTGAGAATTACAGAAATTAGAGATACCAGCCAGACAGTTAATGGTGCAGCTTTTTATATAAAAAAAATTCAGCTTCTCTTCCCATTCTCCCCTCCCCAGATACTCTGGTGTGCTGCTATAGGTCTGTCAGTAAAAAGGCTAAACTAGGAGAGAGAAATTAGATTATGGGATACTGTGGCTGCTGAAAGAGAGTAGAGAAACATATGCTTTGATCGAGAAGCTTTTTGTAGCCTCAGAGAGAGGTCATTCAATTACAGAACTACCAGCTAGTAGAGAAAGGATAGAAGATGGAGAAATTCTAAGGAACTGGAAAAATACACATTTGAAGAATTCCTGATGTGAATCAGGCAAACTTTACAAAGGCAAGTGTGTAGGACTTAGTCCAGATTGTGTGCAAGTATGGAGATGCTTTGTTCACAAGTAGTGACTAAAAAGTGTATATTTAACAGGTCTGCAGCTTTTCCTGTTGCTGAATCAGTTCCTGAACTGTCCTTGAGCTTTAGTGAGAAGAGGACCAGGCTGTTGCCTCTTTCTTAATCAGCCTTTTGCTTCTGCCTGACTCATTTACTACAGACTTACTTGCAACATCCTGATAAATAGCACGACAATGAGTGCTGTGATGCTGCAGGTTCTGGAGCAGAAGTGTTGCAGAATGACTCTGACAGAAGGGAAGGGGTCTGTTAAGGGGAGGATTGTGAAGAAATGGGCTGGTGATACATAATGGAGTGAAGAGGATGGCATTTGCATGGAGTTTTGGAGATAGACATTGTCTGCAATGGGTGAGGCTTTGAAGAAAAGTGTCTAGGATAACTTCAGAGAGAAAAAAGAATATAGCTATTTTTATATTATATTTAATATATATTATATTTGTATATAAATATGAAAGGATTCTAGTAGGAGCTCTCCATATGCCTTCCACTTCATCTAGAAGGTTTTCCTTCTGCACTATGGTTCCAGTGTGTCACCACCTTCTGTGGGCATCTTGCCTACTGCCAAACACCAAAATTAGTAACCCAGCATCCTTACAAGAAATAGGTTTCATTTCAGCTTTATGTAAAAATGAATAAAGTAAAGATATATCAGGCAGTTTTTCACAGGAAAAAGAAATTATCTTAAGACTTAAATAGCACTTTCTCTTTTTGGTTGGGTTTTTTTTTTTTTTTGAGTAATAACAAGCACTTTACTGAAAAGACTATTTGAAAAACAGTTTATTTCTTTAGTCAGTGAAACTGTTAAAAAGGGGGCGCAACAAGGAATAACATGTAAAACTGTCAAGAGAGACATTTCTGGAAAATGTTTCTTTATTATGGTGATCCTTGAGGTTTAAAGTGCAGGATTAAAAAGGCTTCTAAAACTAGTTGCCTTTGTGTTTTATATGGCCAGGGGAAGGGATTAGGGATGATAGCTTCCTTGGAAGGAGGCTTTTTAGTTGCACAGTTGCCTATGAGAGAAAATCATCTGGAGGCTCATTTGCCTGCTCAGTAATTCTAAGTGTCCCTTAGGATTATAAATTGTGTGAAAATGTTATGAAGGTTTAAAGATGTGGCCTTTTGCAAATGTTAAAGTCGATTCAAGAATCATTTATATTTTCAGAGATTTAACCCAGGTATTGTTATGAGTGTTTTAAATGTCACGGCATCAGGAGATGTCAAACGTGTCAGATTCATAAGCTTCTCTATTTGAAATAATTATTAAAATTAGATGTACAGTCAGAGGGCTGGAAAATGGTTATTTTGATTAAAAGGGAAAAGAGACTAGTTTTAATAATTAACCTTTTATTTTTTTACTTATCCCTGGTGGAAAAAAATTGAAGAGAATGAAATGAATTTGGATTAAAAAAGACATATTTAAACAAATCATAGTAGACAAGACAGCTGTGAGAGAACATTTGAAATTGTCTTGGTTGTCCATGAGACTGGGTAGTTGCTTTTTCACTACCATGATTTTTAACACTACATTCCTTGTCTTTTTCTTTTTTTGTCTTTTTAAACAGGTGATTTTAAACTCTGTGATATTTCATGCTATGCCATCTGCATGAATTTTGCCAGCATGATATGCTATATTCAAAGAAAGTATACCTAAATAAAAAGGAAGGGGGGGGAACAAAACACTGTGTCTGAAAAAAACATTTTATGGCCTAATAACAGAGACCCCAGCTATGACTGAGAGATGCTGCATTAATAGACAATCAATCAATGGGTAATTATTTATGAAACACTTTTGGGAATGGTCTTAAAGATGTAACTGCTTTGAAAGCAGTTGGTGAGCTGTCTTTTTCTAACAAGAAAGGTAAAAAATATTTATTTTCAAATATATCAGATTGACTTTTGAGTTTTTAAGCAGTGTTGATTTCACAGTGTCTTGGGTTTCAGCTTTGTTTTGTATTTTTTTAACTGGCATTAGATTTATATACGTAAAAGAAAACAAACAGAAAAGCCCTAGTGCCGTTCATATTGACGTCAGGAAATGTAGATACAGTTCCCTGGTGTTCATGTGACCATTACTAACTGTCAATTTTTTAACTGAATAAATGTAACTCATTTAAAATTTTGCTTTCTGTAGCTTCTAAGGTTCTAGAGGTTTTTTTCTGAGTTGCTTGATGTCAGTTTTATCCAAGTTTCACAGTGAAGCGCTCTTACCCTTCCCACGACTGTACCAAAGGCACTCTCTCTCCCCCACCCACAGAACTGACTTGTGAGAAGTTGCTTGATGTCACTTTTATCTTCTCTCCCCTACCCAGACAAATGACTTGTGAGATTTCAGTAAAATGCATACTGTATTTTTTCCTTGTCTTCTCTCTGTATCTCTTTATAAACTGATGCCCCACTCTAAAGGCTAGAGACCTCTGATTTGTGTATTTACATTACTGCCTTGGAATTTACTCACACAGCACTTGATTGAGTGTGCACAACTTAAAACTGCTTTCATACCCTCATGTCTACAGCTCCTGGTCTTGCCAAAGGATGGAGAGCACTGCAGCAGGTTTGGTTGGGCAGAGTCTTTCCCTCATGTTCTGTCATGGGCAAAACATGCCTCTCTAAATTGGTGCCACTCCCCTGTCGGGGTATTTCTTCTGCTGGTGAAATGTCAAAGAGCAATATTTTAAAAGGAGGAGAGGTGGTCTGAAATGTTGGCTGTACCACCGAGCAAGGAAGCAGAGACTTGCATTTAGCTGCAGCCACAACTTGTTTGAGAGGATGTAGCTCCTGCCTGGAAGAGCTGTTATGATAATATGTAACCTGTCAGGGTGGTGCGACCCTCTTTTCACTGATCAGAGTGTAAACATTAATAATTCCAAATTAATTAAATGTTCAGGGAAAGGAGGGTGGGAAGAAAATAGTGTAATTGAAACTGAATGCCTGGAGAAAATTATAAATACAGTTAGCCATTTTTACAGTCTGCAGTACTTTCTTTTTCTGTAATATCCTCCTCCCAGAGGAGGATACTGATCTTTTGCCTTTGAGAATTAAATAATACTTGTGCAAGCTGTAAATTACTTCTGTATGCCATAGGGCCCCTGTTCCCCAGGAGTGAAACAAAATCAGCTGTAGAAGTGCTGTAGCTGTTGTTAAGAAATGTCACCACCCATCAGTGATAAGATTGAGAGCATGTAGCAAGCAAGATTGTCAATTTACTTAAAATCGATCTTTGGAAAGAGCAGTACATTTTTCTGTAAACTTATCATGAAGAAGAGTGGTAATTACAACTGCTGCCACACCTGTAGCAGTTCTTTTAAATGGTATTTTGCTGTCATGCAAGCTTGAAAACAAAACCCACTCTTATAAGAGAATGAAGCTGTTAAGTACTTGTAAAGATTAGCAATCCAAAGGTTGGTTGTACTTCTGACTCAGGCATTAGTGATATAAATTCCAGATTTCAGCTGTTTGAGGGTAACAAAATAGCAAGAGCCTTACTAGTGTTCTTTGTAGCACAGTCTGTCACTGT